TGTAGTGTCGGGAAGGTGCTAGTTTCTAGTGACTTGTTAAAAAGTTTTGAAATAGCATGCGAAAGGACTTGGGCCGCTCGCTTGTACAATAATGGTGGGACGTGAGACAGATTCCCCGAGTTATTTTTAAGTGACTTTATGATCGCGGTGACTTCTGTGGGCTCAGTTGGTACAAGATTGAAGGAATTTGGGAAATTCCCATCTAGGTAGTCCCCGGCACGGGCATTGGTACGTGGGATTTTACTGGCGAGATTAGATCCTATGTTTGAGAAGAAGTCATTTATCTTGTTAGCTGTATCAGTGGGATGCAGTGGTGTTTCATGAGGTTTAGTTAGAACAATATTCTTGTTTTTTTTTTTCAGTTTGTGGGTCCCCAGAATTTGGGAAAGTGTTTTCCAGGTCTTTTTTATATCTCCTCTTGTGTCAGTGAATCTGCTGAAGTAGTACAGTTGTTTGGCTTTTTTTATTAGTTTGGTGAGAAATGTTGAATATTGTTTGAGAATGTCTTTGTGTATTAAGCCCTGTCTATATTGCTTTTCATATTGAGAATGGGTCTGCCTTATGTAATCCAGTGACCTTTGCAATTATCTCTTTAAGTCAGCAACTTACTCCTACCCATATTGATTTGTCAATAGCCAAATATGACCAACAAACCCTGCACTCATGGTGATACAGTGAAGAGGGACCACAAACACAAATCCATCCACCACACAAGACTAGAAGGCGCTTGGGATGAAACTAATAGCAATATGGCTTCCTGAGACATTTCTGTACAATATACCAGGCCAGCATAACTTTTTGTGTCTCATCAAAACACCTAACAGGGTATTAACACTTCACTTGTTAGAACCCCAAAATTTTAAAATGCTGATGATGCTGGCATTTAAAAAAAAAATTTTAACTCCTTATCTGTGGCATACCCAGAAAAATAAATTACTGTGAGTGTGGCACAATTTTGAAAAAAAAAAAAAATTGCATTTTTATAGAATGAAAGTGCATTTTAATTGAATAAGACCAAAATGAATAGAATCTGATAAATACTGAAGATTTTATGGTGTTGAGCTGGCAAAAAAATTATCACTCATTGGCAACAGTAGCATGAATGCACCAGTGATATTTACATTTTATCATTAATTTTTGCCAAGTTGTGATTGTTTTTCAGTTTTTAATGTTTAAAACCAACCAGTTTCCTTATACCTTCTGATATTAGTGTGCTTCAAGATATTTTAGCCCTTAAAACATGGGAAAAATGTTGAGTCCAACGTTATTGCTTCACCGAGGCAGGGTGACCCAAAAAAGAAATATTTTAACCATGATTTATACTATCATTGTCTTGTCAGAGGCATGCAGATACAACAGTTCAGATGTCACTCAAAACAGCAGATATCCCAATTCCCTCAATTAGAGTGCAGGCGTTGTACTTCCCACCTCCAGGACTCTAAGTCCAGCTAAATGGTTTCCCTGAATCCATTCACTGGATATTACCTTGCTCGCATTCCAACACCAGATTATGTATTCTCTGCATAATACTTACACCACACATTGCCCTTAGACACAACAACTCCACTGCCTCCAGCCTCCTTGCTGCAGCATTTACAACCCATGCTTCTCACCCATATGAGTGTTGGTACCACTATAATCTCGTACATTTCATTTGCCTCCATGGATAATGTTCTGTCTCCATAGATACCTCATTACACCACCTACCTTTTTGCCTTCATCATTCCTATGGTTTACCTCGTCCTTCATATACTTATCTGAAAACATTCACTTCCTCCATACTCCCTCCAATCTGATATTCAGTTTTTCCCTTGCCTAACTCATTTGAAACCCTCATCACCTTACTCTTGTCTATGTTCACTTTCAACTTTTTTCATTTACACACCCTCCCAAACTTGTCCACTAACCTTTGCAACTTTTCGTCAGAATCTTCCAAAAGCACAGTATCATCAGCAAAAGGTAACTGTGCCAAATCCCATTTTGTATTTTGGTCTACATATTTTAATTCTATCCCTCTTCCCAACACCCTAGCATTTTCTTCTTTTACAACCCCAATTGTAAATATGTTAAACAACCATGGTGACATCAAACATCCCTGTCTAAGGCTTACTTTTACTAGAAAGTAAACTCCCTCTCTCCTACACACCCTAACCTGAGCCTCACTACCCTCATAAAAACTCTTTACAGCATTTAGTAACTTACTATCTATTCCATACACTTTCAACATATGCATCATTACTGCCCGATCCACCCTAAATCTATAAAAGCAACAAAAACTTCTCTACCTTTATTTAAATATTGTTCACTTATATTATTCAGTGTTATAAATACTTGGTCTACACATCCCCTACCCATTCATCTGCAATCCTGCTCTGTCTTATCCTTAATTCTTTCAATAATAACCCTACCATACACTTTACCTGGTGTAACTTTTATTCTATTTTTTTCTACTTTTGTCTTCTAACATTAGGTGCAAGGAATACTTATAATATTGCAGTTGTTTCAAGGTGTAATACCCCTTAAAACATGGAAATCAGTTGCATTGTTTGACTATACAGAATTATCCTAGGTTAAATTTTTTTTTTTTTAATATGCCAGCCATCTCTCACTAAGGTAAGGACATACAGCTCAGATTCTCCTATAGTGCCTGTGTACCTCTGGCAAAATGAATGATGGTGAAAGTCTCTTTTTTTTTTTTTTTTTTTTTTGGGTCACTCTACATTTGTGAAAGATGGCCAGTGTTACATATTGTGTACCCATAATGCCTGTGTGCCTTTCCGAGTACTGGAAAACATTTATTTACAAGAAAATCTCATTATTTTAAAATTGCTTCAAGATGTAATAAAGTAGACCATTGATTAACCCTTAAACGGTCCAAACGTATATATACGTTTTTTCAACATCTGAAAGTATGTAAAAAAATGTAGATCTTCTTTTTTGTTTTACATTTGAAAACGTGTAAAAAAAACTTATCTACAGTTTTTTTTTTTGTTATATTTGAAAATATGTAAAAAAAAGTAGATCTACTTTTGTAGCACTACGAATTTGAACGTCGATCTGTTTGGACCGTTTAAGGGTTAACACACTATCCTCTGACATGCTTTCGCTGTTACACTGCTGCAAAATTGTAGCATATTTTTGATGAGTACTCCGTAAAATTTGACTAGCATTTTGCCACTTCTGGGGGGATAATTTGGAGCACCGTGAGGTGGACTGCCGGATTTTTCTGCTCCATCTAGTAGGGTTGCGTGCCATTGTCTCTGGGGGGGGGAGGCCTAGCTTCATCCCCTGCCTTCCCTGTCCCAACTCTCACGTCTCAGTGGTTCATGTCCCTTATGATTCTCAGATCTCTGTTTTTGTAAGTTTATTTAGGCACAGGTACACATAAGTATAATTTTCATACATAGTGTAAATTACCTAAATTAGTTGATTCCTGCATACCAATCAATACATGCAGTGTTTTCATATTAATAAGTCACTTGTTTGAATGTTTTGGGTTATCCTTGTGAGTAATTTACACTCTGCATGATAATTGTACTTAGGTGTATCTGTACCTAAATAAACTTCCTTACTCTGCGCAAATGTGAGCATGCAGGAGACCATGCTTGTATACAAATTGAGAGGGCAGACACGAACGGCACCTGTCCATGAGAGGAATTCTTCCAGTGTTTATGTATGCTCTGCTTATCTTCCTTTGTGTAATTTAGGTTAAAAATTGAAAGAAACCTAGATGTAATGTGTATATAGTACCTCTTTCATATACATTTGTGCATCAGTTTAGTTGGTATACTTGTATTTTTTAATAAGAAAGATGTGTAGCAGTTGGGTGTCTTTATTCCAAAATGTTTAGCCTACACAGTAGGCTTCTTCAGTCAAGTACAGAGGAGACAGCAGAAGCAGTAGAGATGTAAAGATGATGATCAGTCCATCACTTATGAAGACTTTTGTTTTAAGGTGGTCAATCCATCATCCTGGATAAGAGTTCTGCTCTATAGTCTGGAACAGTGTGAAGCTAAAGCAACAAAATAGAGACTTGTATACTGTCAAGGTGAGGCAGAGAAAATCTTGAAGACAGAAGAGGTGGGGCCCTCTAGTAGAAGCAAGAAGGTAATCATTGAGATACATTGCAGCAAACTTGCTGGGTAGGTCCCTCTCAAATCCAACACATCTCACTCACAAGCAGTGATCAAGCATTGAGAACAGCAATGGGCATACTAGCAGACTGTGTGCAGTGCCATATATATATTGATTGTTCACAGGTGAATAATTATCACGGGAAAATACGAGCTTTTGCTTATGGCATGTATAAGTTCCAGACAAACCATCCCCCAGCTGTTGGTTGTGAATCAGCACTATTTCTGGTCACCTGTGTGTCACTTGCCATCACTAAATATTCAGAACCATTGGATTTGTCCTCAGTTCCATAATCTTTATTGGTGGAGCCATTACTGGGGAATAATATCCTTTCATTTTGCCTGGGTGTGAGACCTTTGTGTCAGCTGGGCATGGTGAGCAAAGTGTACCAAAGATAACATTTCCACAGTTAACTGTGGCAGCCCCAATTTTTTTTGTATACTGCACGCACTGGCTGCACAGACCTTTTGTCTTGTACGTAGGCCTTCCAGGCCTCTCCTGTCAAATTTGGGACAGCTAGAATTTATGCATATATTTATATGAGTGATGCTGCCATCAATAAGTTAGGTCAACTTAAGAAACAGTGAGAAGGTCAATGTATGCCTGGTGCTTTCCACCAGCATACTTTAATGATGAGTTGCTCAAAAATTAAGAAAGAGGATTGAAGAATAGTGCAGGTAATTACCTCAGGGACACTATGGAGAATTAGTGTTTTTAAGGTGGATTCATACCTGGAATATGAAAGTCTTAAAATAGTAGAGGAACAATCTCTTTTGACTCTAAAGATAGTTTTAAAATTTTGCTTTGTGTCTTGTGATATTATTTTAAAGGTTCTTTTATAAGTTTTTTTTTTTTTTTTGTTGCAGTGGCAGCTCAAGAAGGTCTCGGGGAATGCGGGAATCTAGTAAGTACAAAGAGATAAGCTCAGATTCTGAATCAGACGATGATGACAAGAAAAAACCTAACAAATATTTTAAGAATCGTGAAAGGGAAAGAGAAGAGAAAAAAAAGAAAGGCAAGTAAATATTTTTCTTCTTAATTGTGAAATTAGAATTTGAGTATAGATCTGATTTTTTACTGTTATATATTTTCATCTTATAATGGCATTGCTACAGATTTAAATTTTATTCCACATATATGAATGTGTTACCCTACAGGGTAAATATAATATAGCCTCTCCTCACTTAGTGACATACTCGCTTACCGACACCTCAGACTTACGACGAGCTCTCTGAGCAGTATTGATACCTAAATAATGTATATTAGAGGTGATTTGCTCTATTCTATTCTGTATAAACATTCAAAAAATATGCCAGAAATGTTATAAATGGTGCAAAGGTGACATTAAAACAATGTCAGAGATGGTTGACACAATCCCACAACTATTATAGTTTGCTCCTCACTTAGCAACAAATTCATCATAGGAACAGAGCTCCATTGTTAAGTGAGGAGAGGCTGTAATGTGTTTCCTTTTTGGATCACCCTGTGTTGGCAGAAGACGGCTGTTGAGGTAAAAGAAATTATGTATTATGGCAGTTTGAAGAGATGTGTTATATATCTTTATATATGCTTCTAAACTGTTGTATCTGGGCACCTCTGCAAAAACAGCGATTATGTATGAGTGAGGTGAAAGTGTTGAATGATGATGAAAGTATTATCTTTTTGGGAATTTTCTTTCTTTTTTGGTCATCCTGCCTTGGTGGGAGATGGCCGACTTGTTGAGATAAAAAAAAAAAATCATATCCTACAGCTTCTAATTTTGAAAGACTGCAAAGACCTTATTTATTTTTTATTTTAGACAAAGCTGATCGAAAAAGAAATAGGATACAGTCTGACGAAGAAGATTATGACCCTGATCAGGAGAGAAAAAAGAGAAGAAAAGGAGGATATCAGGATGATGAGGAGGAGGATGATGATGATGATATCTCTGATTATGAAGAGGGAGGAGCAGAGTCTACACGGGTATGTGTCTTTGTTAAAGTTTCCGGATTTGTGTGTATGGGCAAAGTTGTTAACCTTTTACTTGTCACGATCTCTAAAATTAAGTGCTGATAATGATGCATTTTTTCAAAAAGAAAAAAGTTATTTTCTGAAATGGTAAAGAATTTTTTTTCTGTAGATAATGACACTAAAAATACGAAATTTGATGGAAAACTTACAAAATTACACAGGTGGAAAGTTGGCGGTCATTGTGCAATTTGTGCATTAGCAATTTTACCTACATTGAGTCCTTTTTTTTTAAGCCAATTCCATTGCTCAATTCATCCCAGTTCTTAGCTACTTCACTAGTGTACCTTCTATTCTGTCTTCTGAGTGCAAGAAACTGCCTAATCAAGTGCACAGAAGTCAGTACTTTGGCCAGTTATGCACAGTTCAACAAATACCAATTTTAAAACAATCTGAAGTAAACACTATCGGCATTAATCACATCCCCAGACCTCTCTTAATAACACGTGCTACGTTTTTAATCCATCATTACATAATGATCTAGGCCACTACATTAATTGAAGCATACCTAGAAAAATCCATGAGATAGATCCAGAGAAGGGGCTACTCTTCCATGAGAATCACCAAAAATCAAATATTTCTGCCACTTTGAGGTCTATTTCAAGCTACTTCTAGTAACACAGTCAGAGGCTTGCTTTTTCCAGTATGCACTGTGTGGGACAGTTTTTTTTTTCTTTCTTTATATACACACCCACCCCACAGACCCAGTCTGTCGTATCTAGACCTAAATTTATTGCTTGCAGCACATTTGAGGGCACTCTGCTTAAAAACAGTTATGTGAGAGTGACACTGGCATCAGTAGTGTAGGTTTATATGGGAGACAGTGAAAGGATTAAAAAAAAAAAGTGTTAGGAAGAGGTCTGTACTGTAGAGTTAAGGTTAGTAAGACATGAAATACTAAAGTTTCAACAGTTTTGTATTTCTTCAAGATATTCTTTTATTTTGGGTGATATTAATTTGTGGTTTTTCTTTTATATTCCCAGGGTAACAAAAGATCAGCACCACCACCACCACTGCCTAAGAAAACTTATACCCAGAAGCGGATAGAAAGAAAGTTGATGCCCCAAACAGAGAAACTGAGTGCAGAGGAACTCATGGAAACTGCAGTTTATCAAAGATTCAATAGGGTTGTAGAGAAAATATTTGATAACACTGAAGACCTTGATCTTACTGCTGAAATTGGTTAGTATTACAACTTGGTTTTATAAACTCCCTTAAAAAAGGTGATAATGTAGTGATGCTCATCCATCCATTAATGTTTTCTTGCACTTGTATTTACCTTAATGTGGCTTATCTTTGGCATGTTTTGTCAACTTTCATTATGATATTTCTAAATCATTGTCTGACCATACGTCTGGTTATGATCATTTTTTTTTTCATAACTTTTTATGCCATAGCAGCTTTGTAATATCATAACAGATTGAGGCCTTAGTATTTAAGATCAGAGTTACAGCCTCTTATCAAACTTCAAATTTCATAAATTTTAGGCAGGGCAATGTGTCTCATTTATAGCTTTTAAACTATTCACTAACATGTAGCTTTACATGTTAATACAGTACCTATGCTCTGAAGAATGTATCATCATGTTGCACTTCAGGTTATTTAAATTGTGATGTCCATACATTTTTGGTAAGCTAGCTATTACATGGGTGATGGTGTGTGTTTCCTTATTTAAATAACCCTTAACTTTAGTGAGAAACATCTGATATAAGAATACATTTTGTACCAAACTCAGGACTGTTGAGAACTGGCAGGACTAATGGTGATTCTATGAATCAAGCCACTTGTCTTAGATCTATCTTAGTGGATGTAGTAGCCAAGGCAGTGACACAGTCAGCTATGTTAGAAAAAATAAATGATAGAGCAATGAATCAAGATCAGCTGTATCAAAAGCTTTACGTAAATCAATGAAGATTTCCAACAGGATTTCTTTTTTTTCGAGTGCAGTGTATATTAATTGTAGTATATGTAAAATAGCATCATTTGTATTTTTATTAGGCCTAAACCCAAATTGACAGGGGTTGAGTATATTGTGGGAGATGAGGTAGGAATAGATTTGCTTATGAATTAATTTTTCAAAGATTTTAGAGAGTGGGGGTAATTTGGATATTGGCCTATAGTTATTCAAGTCTGCTTGATCTCCTCCTCTATGTATTGGGTGACCCTCACTATTTTGAAAACTGTAGGGAAGGTAGAGGATTCAATGGATTTGTTAAAGAGTGTTGCAATGATTGGAGACAGTACTTGTGAAGCTTTTTTGTATATAAAGGGTGGTAAGTTATTTAAACTTAGGTAGTAGGTTGGTAAACAGCAACTGCCCAGGGAGGTACTACCGTCCTTGCAAGTGAGTGTACTACGAAAACCTGTAATTGTTTTACATGATGGTAGGATTGCTGGTGTCTTTTGTCTGTCTCATAAACATGCAAGATTTCAGGTATGTCTTGCTACTTCTACTTGCACTTGGGTCACACTACACATACATGTTCAAGCATATATATACACACCCCTCTGGGTATTCTTCTATTTTCTTTCTAGTTCTTGTTCTTGTTTATTTCCTCTTATCTCCACGGGGAAGTGGAACAGAATTCTTCCTCCGTAAGCCATGCGTGTTGTAAGAGGTGACTAAAATGCTGGGAGTAAGGGGCTAGTAACCCCTTCTCCTGTATAAATTACTAAATTTAAAAGAGAAACTTTCGTTTTTCTTTTTGGGCCACCCTGTTTTGGTGGGATACAGCCGGTGTGTTGAAAGAAAGAAGTTATTTAAATATCCTGCCTTGTTCTTTAGTGTGTTGATGAAAAGGGAGTCTTCTGTTGGGTTGGCCACAGCTAGGAACAGTGTGTTAGGGTAGGTGTCAATGAGGTAATCATTAGGTGGGGTATTTGAGCTTGGGGTTTTACCCGCAAGGTTTTTTCCTATGGTGGAGTAGAAAATATCGAGTCTGTTTGTTTGCTGTTTCAGTTGGTGGGAATTGGGGTTCATCTGGTTTTGTTAGTCTGATTGTTCTGTTTCCTGATATCTTTTTTTGTTCCTATAATTTCAGCTAGGGTTTTCCAGGTCTTTTTTTATATCACCTTTTAAGTTGGATAATCTGTTTTCATAATACAATTTTTTGCCCTTATCAGGCTGGTTAGGATTGACGAGTAATGTTTTGTTTGGTCTCTGGTTATGACCCATTCTGTACTGGATTTGAGGATGCTGGGTGTTAGCCAGGGACTGTTCAGTCTCTTAGCTGTGATCTGTTTAGTTTTTTAGGGCAGTGCTTGTTACAGAGGTATTGGGTCTTTTTTAGAAAATTATTAATACATTCGTCAGTATCTGTATAGATTTCTAGCTCAATTTGCCAGTCGATGTTTGTCATTGCTGTTGTGAAGTTATTAATGGCTGCCTCATTATGAAGTCTGAAGGTTACTTTAGCAGTGTCTTGGGATAATTTACCTAGATTGGTTATGAGAAAGGTAGGGTAGTGGTCTGTGGTATTATCTGTGATTATGCCTGATTTTAAAGGGGATATGGTGTTGGTCCAGATGTGGTCTAATAGGGAAACACTATTCTCTGCAATTCTTGTAGGTTTTGTTACTTTTGGTAGCAACAAGCAGTTATGAAACCAACATTGCATGCTTAGCCCATTACAGCCTTCATTCTTATGTCATGGACTTGGTAAGAGCACAGCTATTACACCACAAAAATGACAAGGTCAGGCACAGAATTTTGGAAGCAACAGTGATCCACCTCACCAAAACCATTGAACAAAACAGTGGAATGTACAGGTTGACTGGACCTATTACCCAACATTGTTTTTTTAACACTTCGGCCATTTCCCACCAAGGCAGATGACCCAAAAAATATTATACACATAATAAACTTGCCACTTTACCCCAACCCCTTGCTCCTACCAGTACCTGATCTCTCCAGACTTGATCCCGCAGTTTATGACATCGTGTGACCTCTTGCAGTGCTCTTATGTGTGACACGGTTTTCTCAGAATCTGACCTCTTGGTACTCGTTTGCCTTTAACCCTTTCAGGGTCCAAGGCCCAAATCTGGAGTCACGCACCAGTGTCCAAGAATTTAAAAAAAAAAAATTTGTTATTTTTTCTTATGAAATCGTAGAGAATCTTTTTGTGAAGGTAATAAAACAAAAAGTACGAAATTTGGTGGAAAATTGATGAAATTATGCTCTCGCGAATTTTGATGTGTCAGCGATATTTACGAATCGGCGATTTTGCCGACTTTGACTCCCATTTTAGTCCAATTACATTATTCCAATCAACCAAATTCTTAGCTATTTCACTAGTATTACTTCTATTCTATCGATTGAGCACAAGAAATCGCCAAGTCAACTGTTTCAACTACAAAATAAAGTGATTGGAAATTGTTAATTTGGCCAATTTAACACAAAGTTCAAAATATTCCAATTTCAAAATAGGGTCCAGAATGAACAATGTAGGCATTCCTGGCACTAAACTAACATTTCCTCTGTTCATTAGTTATGTTTTGAGGCTTTACAAATAAATTCAATTTTGATTTTTTATTCACATAATGAATTTTTATTCACACAAAAAAATAGAAGATTTACTGATATGCAATACTGTAATAATTGTATAAATATCATCACCATATATGTGAATGTATATTAGACCCACCAGCTGACGTGTATTAGACGTGTGAGGTCGTTTGTTTACTCTTGAATATCGGCAAAAATTTAACATTTCTGCTACTTTGAGCTCAGTTTCAAGCCATTTCCAGTGCTAAAACCAATCAAAATCATCTCTATTTCTGTAATATGTCTTCCATTCTATCAAATGAGACCAAGAAATCGCAAATACAACTATAAAAAACATACGAAAAAACACTGCAAAGTTGCCGTTTTAATCGAAAAATCATGATTTCATTTTTTTTCTCTCATTATACACAGTGTGCTGCAGGATCTGTTTTATGTGGTGCACACATACCACATAGATGTATTCTCTCATATCTAGGCCCAAATGTACCACTCACAGTTTATCAGAGTGAGCTGAGCTCATGGCGTAGATCTACGGTTTGGACCCTGAACGTAAAGCCGTAGATCTACGGGACGGACCCTGAAAGGGTTAAGATATCCTTTGCGACTTATCTATATAATCTCTCAAAAGAACTGTCATCAGTTCAAAAAAAAAAAAAAAAACTGTGGCAACTCCTGTTTTGCCTCAAATATATTAGCTTTTAATCCCACACATCTCCCGACACCCTAGTAGTCACTTGTTTTACAACCATGTGTATTAATATGCTAAACAACCATGGTGGCATCCCACACCCCTTTCTAAGATCTACTTTTACTGGAAAGAATTCCCTCTCAACAGCTTGAATCCATCCTTTAGAGTTCTGTCTTGGTTAGATATGTTCAGTACTATATTTATATCTGTTTAAGTGTATATTCATTACACAGTCTAATACTGCACTGACTTCCATGACTTAAAATAATGGGAGGTTACATTATAAACTAAC